CACCAACAACAACAACAACAACAACAACCACAACCAACAACCAACAACAACAACCACAACAACAACAACTACTACTACTACTACTACTGCTACTGCTACAGCTACAGCTACAGCTACAACTACAACTACAACAAGCACTACAACTACAACCAGCACTACCAGTACTACAAGTGCTGCCAGTACTACAAGTATTTCAAGTGCTGTTACTACTCCTCCTCCTCCTCCTGCTCCTCCTCCTCCTCCTACCACCACCACCACCACCACCACCACCTTTGCTGCTGCTGCTGCTGCTGCTACAACTGCTACTATACTGCTAGTACCACTACAACTACGACCACCACTACGATGACGACTCACTACCACTTCCCCTACCACTGCCACCACCCCCAGCCCCACCACCACCGCCACCGCCACTGCCACTGCCAACGCCATGATCATCATCATCATCGTCGTCGTCGTCGTCATCATCACCATCATGATCATGTTGTCGTGATCGTCCACCACGAAGCGACCCTTGCTCCCTGCCCGAGGCACACCCGCACCCCCCTGACAATTTTAAATGAAACGACTGGACTCTCACAGCCTCTAGGGCGTGGAGGGCCTCACCTATGGGCTCTTGACTACAGTGGCGCGCCTTGGCTCTGCAATTCAGGCCAGTTCTTCGCCTCTTCAAGATCTCTCTCTGAGCTTATTTTTTCGCTCCCAACAGTCTGGCAACACTATGGGGTTCCTACATTCATGATCAAAAGGACATCAATTTCGCTATGCTCACGAGGCAGCCCTGGCTTGGGCACCCTCGCGCTGCGGCGCAATCCCGCCTCCTGTTCCCCAAACACTGCGGTGTGTGTTCGGTGATGGCAATCATTCCCCTGGTACAGCGTCTCATGGGTTGCTTCAGGGGAGCTACAGGTGGTGCTACTGGGGTAGGTAGAGCTTGGACTACTAGTAACTTAGGTGCTCTTTCACGTTTTGGGGTCTATGCTGGCATGTTGTCTCTGCAAGCCTGGCGGGAGATGGTCTTTTTTGTCTCGCCCAACTGAACTGTACATGATTCAACAGCAGTTCTTTGCTTTGGTGTGATTCAATTCCACTGATTTGAACCCCTGCTGCAGATGCTCTGTAATCCAACCTGTTCAACTGGACGAATCCGACTGCTGTCATTTTCGTGCCTCATCGTTGTATTCATTGCAAGGGATACCGCACATGGCCTGCTCAGGAACCTGGGCAGTCCCTTCTCCAGAGCCATTGGCAACCAGGCAGGAGAGTAGAATCTTGCGGCTCTGAGTGCTGGCGTGTGCACTCGTAGCTGTCGTCCGGAAGCGCCTCTTACCCTCTCCCGCACCGGCCTCGAGCCCCCAGTTCCCTGAGATTTTTGGCCTCTTCCGCCCGAATCTCTCAGACTCGGCGAACTACCGGCCCTTTGCCTGCAAGTTCTAGTGCACCCCAGGGCTACGTTTTCAAAGGCCCGGGATGAGATGTTCGCATCGGCTCGACCAGCTGCGAACAGACCATTCAAGACATAAGGGGGCACCTTTTTTTTGGATGAAATTTCGCAAGACCGGACAGCAAGGCTAGGCACGAGAGCTGCGGAGTCCAAGGTCGGACACGCCGGAGTTTCGGAATACGGTGGCCCTCTCGCAGCTCGGCGGGACTTGCTAGTGACCCGTTCGCATTCGGCCCGGTCTGCCTCTTGCAGAGGTTCCTGTTGAGCTACGGCTTCTCCTTCGCATCCTTCTGCCTACTTCTTCTCATCCCGGACCAGAAGGAGGAAGCTCAGAGAAGGACACATCCTGCTGTAAGGCAGCAATGCAGGTGGTTTGGCCAAGCTTGTCACGTTGAGCAAGTGAAGCCAAAGCACCCTGCCATAGCATGAGCCCCAACCCAAGCCAGACCTCCCATTTGTTTCGGCCATGCAGGAAGAAGGCATGGGGGAGCAGATCGACGTACGGCGATCCACCTCAACTTTAGTGTTTGACTGTCTCTGAAGCGGGTTGGAGAAGATGAACTAGGCTTTCGGACTTTGATGGACCTCTGGGAGGTGCAGGGAAGCGTTTGTGAGTCCTGCGATCCTGTGGTCGTCTCCACAGTCGCAGCTCATCTCGACTGCTGCAAACTTCTGACTGCCCGTGGAGTTGATGACCTTTACTTGTTAACTCAGGTGTCATTACCCTTGTGCTCCTTGCGTTTGCGATGAGCTACGCGTTAACGGTGCGCCCTCCGCTGATGCGTACATCGAATTCAGACTTGCGCTGAAGAGCTTGTCGAATCTCAGGGAGGTTTGAATGCTGGGGGCGGGGGCGCGCAAGTGCAGCAATGCATTTCAGCAGCTCGCGAGCCGTTGCCAGTTGTCTGCCGCATGTAGAAACCCGAATCTACTCACGCTTGCAGATCAACTTCATGACAATGATCCCAGCCACTGCCTGCCGGGTGCTCAACATCCTGCTGCGCCCTTCGTGCACCTATCGCCCGACTTTTCAGCTGCCCCCAGGCTTGGAGGTGGTGGGTGGAAGTGGCTGCTAAGCCGGCCAAAGCTGTGGAGTCTTCTGCAGTTCAGATGCAGTTATGACTGAGGGCCCCCGTGATTTTGGGTTCTTTCGCCTCGAAAGTGAGCAGCCGAGGCTTTCTTTTGGTCCGTGCTTCCGTGCTTTGCATAGCCTGTCCTTGACGGATGGGGCATTTGAGCGGCAGGGGAGCTCTCGAACTTGAGTACCAGAAGTTGACTGGAAAATCGCAGTGTGTCCGCAGTTGCTGTAGAAGCTCCCCTGCCCCTCCAAGTGCGGCCGCATGCACGGTCACATGGCGCCCCTCGTCTCAACCACGTCATGGTCAAGCTTCTGTTTAGAGATGTCATGTCTGGGTTCGCAAGTCACCCGGGACTCTCTACTCGAGTGGGAGTAGAGCTCTTGACGTCGACCCTTTCTCTTCGTTTGAAGGCATTTTCAAGTCTCAGCTTCCACTTCTGCTGTTCTGGGTATCTTTCTCACCCTCTTGCATTTCGATCTGTCTATTCTCGTCTGCCTGTGCGTGAGTAGGTGTAGTTTGAGGGTTGTACGTGTGCTGAGACTCCGGAAACCACTTTCGGTTTGCAGGGTGGCAACAGCCGCCACAGATGAGGACAGCGGACTTTGATGCTGGTTGATGTTGTTGGCCTGAGTCCATCTAGTGTCAGTCTTCTCCTCCAGACAGGACTTGCGTGCAGTTCTGCAAGGAACTGCCACTAGCCCCGAGGCTACTGCCCAAGCAGTCGCTGCGTGACAATCCCCTTGTTGCTCCCGAGGCACGAGTACACGGGAATGGTAAGCGAAGTCAGAATCAAGCCACGCAAAACCATCCTGCCGTTCCTGTGTTGACTCGCTGGTTTGGCTGCTTCGGGAGAAGGCGGCAACAGCATTTGTAGACAGGCAGCGCGTCCCAAGACGCCTGCAGAGTCTAGCTCTAGCGGATGGAGCTCACTTGGAGCGGTCTGTTCGCACTTGATTCTTGGCAGAAGAGCTTGAAAAGGCTGCCAGAAGTCTTGGGAAGTTTGTCCAGTAAACTTACGCAGCACTTTGGTGACGAAGTAGTCGGATGATATCAGCCCTCGAGGTGATTTAGGCTAAGGCTGCTGCGAATGAAGTGACGGACGTCACGCAGCTCCATGATGCACTGAGCAATTCGCGGATCTGTAAAGATGTATATAGCGACAAACCTGCACAGTCATGTGACAAGGAGGGCCTGCACAGAAGTCAGCTGCAAGGCGATCTAGCAAGAGTGCCCTAGACCGCCACAGGAAAGCCAATAATAAGCCATAGAAAAACATGCCCTCACTTGGCCCGACGCGGATAATGTGAAATAGCTGCAACACTCATCGCACATAGAATGTGGCATGCTTGCTCAGGGTTGTGGAATGTTGTGGACTAGTTGAACCATCCAGCCCTCAGGATTGATGGGCCAGTGGCTGAAGACTAACTAGCTTAGACGGTCAAGAGTCAAGAGTTGAGAAAGACAACGAAATAAGTTCCCAAGACAACGCTATCGGGAACAGGAAGCGGAAGGTATCACCAACGAAGGCAAGCTGAATGGTCAGCAGCATGGGAGCCCCGAGGCAGACGTGGCAAGCCGCAGGCAACCAAATCACGAAGGAGGGAGAGAGGCGGAAGCTGACCGAAATGGAAGTAAGCAGGTACGAAATCTGCGATTGCATGTAGGGTGAACCATCTGCAGGACGCGAAGGTGTGGAATGAAGAAAGAGATGGTTGTGTTGCAGTCAGTGCTAGTAGCCAGGCAGCACACCTTTAAAGTGTTTTTTTGCAGCCAGAGGCTGAAGAATCGGGTTATTGAAATGCCGAAAGTCCGGAAAGGAGCGACTATCTGTGCTGGAAACCTCCACTGGGAGCGTAAAGCCCGGCCAAAGGAGTGGGTCCACAAAGAGATCCCCCGAATTGCAAGAATTTTTGTGCCAAGAGCGACACAAAAGGTCTCCAGTGTTGCAGCATTGCAGGAAAAAAGGCTCGCAGCCGGGCGTGCGATTCGTCTTCTGTTGGCCAGCTGGGACCCTGAATCTGAAAACTGAGCGGCAGAATGTGAGATCCCGTGCACTGGCACTTGGGGTGTTAGCCATCCCTGAGTGCCAAGCTGAAGTTTCCAGAGACGTTTTGTGGGTTTCGTTTGTGAGGTGTGCATGATGCTGTTGAGGACTCTGCCACTCACTGCTACATACTGCTATGGCCCGCCTGCGTGTTGGGTTGGCTTTCGCGTGGACGACGTGTGGCCGTGTCTTCTCCCTGTCGGTTGCTATGTGGCTAGGGCAAACCATGGGTGCAACAAGTAAAGCTGTGGTTTTTGAGCGATGCTGCTTGTCGTGGTGTTTGCCTGCATGTTGGGAGCATGTTTCCTTAGAGGACGCATGGCTGTGTATTCTCAGCAGCCCACCTCCGGGGCACGAAGCTTTTGTGGTG